GCCTCAGCCTTCCAAGTAGCTGGAAATACAGGTGCGCACTACCACGCCCGGCTAATTTTTAAAAATTTATTGTAGAAATGAGGTCTCGCCAAGTGGCCCAGGCGGGTCTCGAACCCACGGGCTCAGGCAATCCATTCACCTCAGCCTCCCAAAGGCGCAGGATTACAGGCTGAGCCACCTAGCCCAGCTATTTCTTTTTTTAATTGGCAAATACAAGTTGTATTTATTGACTGGGCATGGTGGTTCACACCTGTAATCCCAGCACTTTGGGAGACCCAGGTGGAAAGATCATTTGAGGTTAGGAGTTTGAAACTAACCTGGACAGTATAGCAAGATCTGTCTCTACAAAAAATTTTTTAAAAATTAGCCAGACTTGGTGGTGCACACCTATAAGCCTAGCTACTTGGGAGACTGAGGTGGGAGGGTCACTAGAGCCCAGGAGTTCAAGGCTGCAGTGAGCTATGATTGTACTGCTGTACCCCAGCTTGCGTGAACAAGACCGTGTCTCAAAAAGAATCTTGTATTTATTTATGGTATTATACCCCATGATGTTTTGAAGATATGTATGCACTGTGAGTGGCAAAATCAAGCTAACCAACTTATGCATTACCTCACAGACTTATGTATTTGTGGTGACAACACTTAAAATCTATGTCTTAGCACTTTTCAAGTGTATAGTACATTAACTGTGGTAACGATGTTGAACAGTAGATCTCTTGAAGGTATCTTCCCATCTGACATTTTTGTTTGTTTGTTTATTTGTTTGTTTTGAGTTGGCGTCTCGCTCTGTCACCCAGACTAGAGTGTAGTGGCCGCTCCCGGCCACCGCAGCTTCGACCTGCTGGGCTCTGGCGATCCTTCCACCTCAGCCTTCCGAGTAGCCGGAATTACAGGCATGCGCTACCACGCCTGGCTGATTTTTGATTTATTGTAGAGATGAGGTCTCGCTGCCCAGGCGGGTCTCAAACCCGCGGGCTCAGGCAATCCACTCACCTCAGCCTCCCAAAGGCGCGGGATTACAGGCTGAGCCACCGAGCCCGGCTCCTTTCTTGTTTTTATTTAAAAACATTAGTAGACCGTTTTCAATCACTTTTATATGTATCCCTAAGCAACAGCTGGTGCTGCTACTGCTTATCCCAGGACTGGGCTTTCAGAAAACCTCTCGCCCTTTCCAATCTTTCTCCTTTCTTGGCTCTTCAGCTTTCATCATTCTGGAGCCCCATCTCCAATTAGAGATAAAGGGTCAGCTTCTTTGAATTTCCGCCTAAACGGTGTCTCCTACTCAGTGCAGGCTCATCTCTCAGTCCCATCTGGGGTGCAGGCTGCATTCACGCCCATCTTGGGAGCACTTGGTGTGTGGAGAGCTGCACTGGCTCTGGAGTCCAAGTCGACTTCAAGGCCCAGTGCCATTTCCGGTGTGTGACCTCCGCCAGCTGGCCTCCACTTTCCCCATCCTCAAGCTCATCTATAGTACGGGGGTGTGATCGTGTGCATCTCTTAGCGTGGGGAGCTTTGGTGAATTGATGCAGGAGAGGAACTGGGCAACAGTTGTAGTGTCCACTGGAGGCCTGCAGGGCAATGAGAGCAGCTCTGGGGTCTGGGCCCCTGGCTGAGTCTTTTGTCCCATGTTCTTTGCCTCTTGTTGCTGGAGAAGCTGCAGTCCTGTCTCCTGTCTGTTCCTAGGTCCCCAGGAAACCATAGGAGCCAGAAGTCCTTTTCTCTTGGCTTCTGAGGGGACCTGTGAGACCAAGAGGGGAGAGAGGGTGAGCTTCCTTCAAGGGACACTTTGTTCAGGTGCCAGGGAAGAAATAGGGACAGTCACAAAGACGCAGCCCAGTGAGAAATTGGGCAGGTGCATGAGCAGGCAGTTCAGCAAGAGGAACTCAAATGGCTAAGGCAGTGAGAGAGGCTGAGCCTTGCTGCACGCTAGAGAATGCAGATGAAAGCAGCAGGAGACCTCATCTCTACGGGCGTGGTAGCTCATGCCTGTAGTTCCAGCTACTTGGAAGACTGAGGTGGAAGGATCGCCGGAGTTCAGCAGGTCAAGGCTGCGGTGGCCGGGAGCGGCCACTGCACTCCAGTCTGGGCAACAGAGTGAGACTCCAACTCAAAAAAAAAAAAAAAGAAAGCAGCAGGAGAGCCCCAGCAGAGCCTGGTAACAGGCAGAGGCTGGCGATCGCCATGCTGGTGAAAGTGGGAAGCCCATTCTCTCACGTCTTCCTAGCTTCCTTGGAGCTGTGCAAATTGGTGCAGGCATTTTGCAGGATATTTTAGCCACAAACTACAGAGCTTCTGACCTGGCCACTCCTCTTCTTGGCATCATGCCCAGGCATGCCCAGCAATGTCCATTGCTACAGTGTTTGTAGTTGCAACCTGGTAACAGCCTCATTGTCCAGAGGTTGTGAGGAGAAGTTAAAAATGGCAATGGCAGCCGAGCCAGAGGATTGCTTTAGCCCAGGAGTTTGAGAGCTGCCTGGGCAGCATAGTGAGACCTCCATCTCTACAGAAAATCAAAAACTTGGCTGAGTGTGATGGTAAACATCTGTAGTCCCAGCTACTCAGAAGGCTGAGGAGGGAGGATTACCTGAGCCCAGGAGGTTGAGGCTGCAGTGAGCAGTGATTATGCCATTCCACTCCAGTCTGGGCAACAGATCAAGATCCCAAACTCAAAACAAACAAACAAACAAAAAACAATGGCATATTACGGACCAGGAGAGATTAAACATGCAGTGGTGTAGTAGAGACAGAAAGCAGATGAGTGGTTGCTGAGGGAGGGGGCACATGGGGAATGACTGCTTAACAGCACAGAGTTTCTTTTTTTTTTTCTTTTCAACTTATTATATTTTTTATTTTATTTTTGAGTCGGAGTCTCACTCTGTCACCCAGGCTGGAGTACAGTGGCACGCTCACGGCCACTGCAGACTCAACCTACTGGGCTCAGGTGATCTTTTCGCCTCAGCCTTCCAAGAAGCAGGAACTATAGGCATACGCCACCATGTCCAGCTAATTTTTTGATTTATTGTAGAGATGAGGTCTCACCAAGTTGTCCAGGCTGGTCTTGAACTCATGGGCTTGGGCAGTCGTCTCACCTTGGCCTTCCAAAGTACTTGGATTATAGGCATGAGCCACTGCGCCCAGCCTATTTTTTTATTTTAAAGATGTGAGGTATAATTCAGGATTAGGTACACAAGTGGTCATCATACACGTAAAGTTTGGGCCTCCCTTTGGCCCCCATTTTGCCTGGTTTGAGATCAGGTACTCTTATCAATGTCGTGTGCCCCCCCTCCCAGCAGTTTTGCACTACTGCCAATCTCTTCCTTATAGTATTATGACAAATGTTCAGGGTCTGCTTATGAGTGAGAACATGTGGTACCCAGTTCTTTGTTTCTGTGATAGATTACTGAGTATTATAGACTCTAAATCAGGCACAAGTTTCTTTTTGGAGTGATAAAAATGTTGTGGAACTAGATAATGGTGATAATTGTACAATATTATCAGTGTGCTAAATGCCACTGAATATTACACTTAAAAATATTTAGCAGCCGGGCTCGGTGGCTCAGCCTGTAATCCTGTGCCTTTGGGAGGCTGAGGTGAGTGGATTGCCTGAGCCCGCAGGTTCGAGAGCTGCCTGGGCAGCGAGACCTCATTTCTACAATAAATAAAAAAAAAAAATCAGCCGGGCTTGGTAGTGCATGCCTGTAATTCCAGCTGCTTGGAAGGCTGAGGTGGAAGGATTGCCGGAGCCCAGCAGGTCGAGGCTGCGGTGGCCGGGAGCGGCCACTGCACTCCAATCTGGGCGACAGAGTGAGACTCCAACTCAAAAAAAAAAAAAATATTTAGCCAGGCATGGTGCTGCATGCCTATAGTCCCAGCAACTTGGGAGACTGAGGCGGGAAGCTGCTTGAGCCCAGGAATTCAAGGCTACGGTATGATCACACCACTCCTCTCTCTAAAAAAAAGATTAGGGCCGGGCATGGTGGCTCACACTTGTAATCCCAGCACTTTGGGAGGCGGAGGCAAGAGTATTGCCTGAGCCCAGGGGTTTGAGACCAGCCTGGGAAACTTGGTGAGATATTGTCTCTACAATAAATCAAAAAATTAGCCTGGTGTGGTGGTGTGCACTACTTGGTTCCAGCTACATGGAAGTGAGGCTTCCGTAAGGATCACCTGAGCTCGGCAAGTTGAGGCTGTGGTGGCTGTGTTTGTGCCACTGCACTTCAGCCTGGGCAACAGAGTGAGACTCTGACTCAAAAAAATAAAAATGAAGCCAGAAGATCAGATGCAGTGGCTCAATTTGTAATCCCAGCACTTTGGGAGGCCAAGGTGGGAGGCTTGTCTGAGCCCGCGGGTTCAAGACCAGCCTGGGAAACTTGGTGAGACCTTGTCTCTACAATAAATTACAAAACTAGCCAGGCATGGTGGCTCACGCCTGTAATCACAGCACTTTGGGAGGCAGAGGCAAGAGGATTGCCTGAGCCTAGGGGTTTGAGACCAACCTGGGCAACTTGGCAAGACCTTATCTCTAAAATAAAATGAAATCGAAATAAAAATAATAAATAAATATAAATGCTAAAATGGCAAGTTTTATGTTATATATATTTTAACACAGTTTTAAAAAATTAATAATGAGGTACACCAAAAGCCATTGAATTATATACTTTATTTTTTCCAGCTTTATTGAGGTATAATTGGGAAATATAAGTTGTGTGTATGTATAGGTGTTCAACATGATGGTTTGGTATGCATATACACTGTAAAATGCTCACCACAGTTGGGCTATTTATCATCTCCATCACCTCACACCGTTACTTTTTTTTGTGGTGAGAACACTAAGGTCTCTTAGCAAATTTCAAATATATAACACATTCCGCATTGGATTCCTAATAGAAAAAAATAACTAAATAGATAGTCAAGGATACAATACATCATGAACTATAGTCACCACACAGTAAGTACACTTCAAATGGGTGAATTGTATGGTGTCCAAATTTATTCTCAGTAAAGCTGTTTTTTGTTTTTTGTTTTTTTTAGATTAGAAACTGTAGTTTATTTAGAAAGTAAATGAGAGAGAGAGAAAGGAGATTCACTTCCCCAAGGTAGAGGAGGGGGCCAAACCCAAGAAGCATGGCCCAGCCATAGCTAAAAGAGCACATGGCCACACTATAGCTTAGCAAGGCAGTGACCACAATGACCTGGCAATGGTGGCTGGTTGCTCGTGGTTGAGTCCTTTTAATCCTTCCCTTTGGTTTGATGGGGGAAGTTCATTAAGGTGATTGGGTGGTGGTCTAAAGCTGTCTTTTTTTTTGAGTTAGAGTCTCACTCCTTTGCCTAGGCTGGAGCACAGTGGCATGCATGCTCCCGGCCACCCCAGTGTCAACCTGCTGGGCTCTGGCGATCCTTCTGCCTCAGCCTTCCGAGTAGCAGGAACTACAGATGCACGCAACCATGCCTGGCTACTTTTTATTTTATTGTAGAGACACGGTCTTGCCAAGTTGCCCGGGCTGGTCTCAAACCCATGGGCTCAGACAATCCACTTGCCTCGGCCTCCCAACGTGCTGGGATTACAGGCTAAGCCACCAAGACCAGCCTAAAGCTGTTTTTAAAAACTCAAGTGACATAGGCAGGGCACAGTGGCTTATGCCTATAATCCCAGCACTCTGGGAGGCTGAGGTGGGAGAACCACTTGAGCCCAGGAGTTAAGGAGACCAACCTGGGCAACACAATGAGAACCCTGTCTCTTCAAAAAATTAGCCGGGCATGGTGGTACTCACCTGTAGTTCCAGCTATTCAGGAAGATCACCTGAGCCCAGGAAGTCACGGCAGTGGTAGCCGTGATCATGCCACTGTATTCCAGTCTGGTCAACAGAGTGAAACCCTGACTAAAAAGGAAAAAGAAGAATAAATAAATAAAAGTTTTTAAAAATCAAGTAACATAAATACAATGTGACATCATTTTTGTGAAATTACACATTAATCCCTTCCTACTCTCCCCGAGTAGGAAGCGTGGAGGAAAAGGATGGGAAGGACACTCATCCAGTTGATGCCAGCAGGGTGGGGCTGGGAGGCGGACGCAAGATGGACTCCAGCTTTGTTGACATGTGCTAGCCCTTGGAATGAGGACATATTCACTTACTGCTTCTCAAGTTAGAAACGCAACTTTTGGAAAAGGAACAGGGTCAACAGATGTAGACATTGGGGTTGACTGCTTGATGACTTGACTCTCCCTCTGCCTTTCTTTGAAGGATTCCGAAAGACTAATGGAGCAACAAGGAGCCCTGCTGAAACGGCTGGCGGAGGCCGACTCAGAGAAAGCGGTAACTGTAGTGCCCCCTGCCCACTCCAGTTGGTACAGGTGGCAAGAGAGACCCACAGCAAAGCGGCGAGGCGCTGGATGGAGGGAGGAGTGCTGGAGTGCGTCTCTGGTCTAGTTTCATGATCTGTAAATGGTTTGATATTCCCTGTCCTGCCTGCTCCAGTAGGCTTGTCTAGTTGACCACTTGAGAGCTGGAGCCACAAAGTCAGACACCAACATAGGGGATGGTAATCATGATGGTAGATGTATGCATCACCAGTGTCTGTTGAATGTAGATTTCTTTATTATGGATCCAAAGCCATTAAAAAGCACATACTGGCCAGGCTCGGTGGCTCTGCCTGTAATCCCACGCTTTGGGAGGCTGAGGTGAGTGGATTGCCTGAGCCCGTGGGTTCGAGACCTGCCTGGGCAACTTGGCAAGACCTCATCTCTACAATAAATAAAAAATCAGCCGGGCTCGGTGGCTCAGCCTGTAATCCCGCAGCTTTGGGAGGCTGAGGTGAGTGGAATGCCTGAGTCCGTGGGTTCGAGACCTGCCTGGGCCACTTGGCGAGACCTCATCTCTACAATAAATCAAAAAATTAGCCATGCATGGTAGCACGCACCTGTAGTTCCAGCTACTCGGAAGACTGAGGTGGAAGGATCGCCTGAACCCAGCAGGTCGAGGCTGCGGTGGCCGGGAACATGCCACTGTCCTCCAGCCTGGGTGATAGAGTGAGACTCCAACTAAAAATAAAAATAAAAATAAATCAGCTGGGCGTGGTAGCGCATGCCTGTAATTTCAGCTACTCGGAAGGCTGAGGCAGACTGATCGCCGGAGCCCAACAGGTCGAGGCTGCGGTGACCGGGAGCGGCCACTGCACTCCAGTCTGGGTGACAGAGTGAGACTCCAACTCAAAATAAAATAAAAATAAAAAAATAAAAATAAAAAGCACATACTGGCTAGGCATGGTGGCTCATGCTTGTAATCCCAGCACTTTGAGAGGCCGAGACAAGAGAATTGCTTGAACCCAGGAGTCTGAGACCAGCTTGGGCAACATAGTGAACCCCATCTCTACAAAAAATAAAAAAGTTAGCTGGGTGTGGTGGCACACACCTGTAGTCACAGCTACTTGGGAGGCTGAGGTAGAAGGATTGCTTGAACCCAAGAATTAAAGGCTATAGAAAACTATGATTAATGATCATGCCCCTGCACTCCCACCTGGGCAACAGAGGAAAACCCTGGCTCAAAAACAAACAAACAAACAAACAAAAAACACCTTTGGACTTAACAACTTCAGTTCTAGGAACCTCTTCCAAAGTAGCATGTTCCAAAGTCTATTCATGGAATCCTAAAGTCCTCAAGATATAGATGGTTTATTAGGGAGGATTAGGTTTAAAAAAAAAAAAAGCATGAATGGGTATGAGAAACAGAAGCAAGAATAGAGAGTATTCCATAGCCAATGAACTAACGTTCACCAGACTTCTGAACTCAAGGCTTTCTGGACCTCTGCTGCATGAATGCCCTCACAGGTCTCCAGGAGAGGGGGAGAGAACAGAGGCCCAAGGCTTAGCCCTTAGTCCTCGATGCCCGGCCAAAAGTCGCTGGCAAGCACGTCCACCTGAGGAAGGAGTGGAGAGTCAGTAGGAATGGTGGCATGCCTAACTAAGCCTACATTCCCAGCTTAAGAGGCCCTGTTAAATTGTGATTCATCGTGGTTTATAAATTGAAGCAGCTATTTGTTTTCTTTTTCTTTTCTTTTTAAATTTTGTTTTGAGTTGGAGTTTCACTCCATTGTCCAGGCTGGAGTGCAGTGGCGCACTCACGGCCACCATAGCCTCAACCTGCTGGTCTCAGGCGATCCCGCCACCTCAGCCTTCCAAGTAGCTAGAACTACAGGTGCGTGCCACCATACCCGCTAATTTTTTTGATTATTGTAGAGAGAGACAAGGTCTCTCCAAGTTGTCCAGCCTGGTATCGAACCCCTGGGTTCAGGCAATCCTCTTACCTCAAAAACATTTAATACATATGTGAGGTGCTTCCCACCAGGGTCCCTGTGATAAGGGCCAGTATATTTGGAAGCTTGGGCCCCAGTGGCCAGACACTCACAGGTCTCTCCTCCCTGGGCTGGTGGGCTCTTTGCCCTTCCTGGAGGAACATGACAACATGTGTTCTCTCTCAGCGCCTGCTGTTACTGCTGCAAGACAAGGACAAGGAGGTGGAAGAGCTCCTCCAGGAGATACAGTGTGAGAAGGTATGTCCCCGGCAGTGGTGCCTTTTAAAAGTCAGCAGAGGTACAGTGGGTGTGCGGAGAGCTGGGTTCAAATCCTGGCTCTTTCACTTTTCTCTGTCTCTCCAAAGGCTCAAGCAAAGACCGCATCTGAACTTTCTAAGTCTATGGAGTCCATGCGTGGGCATTTGCAGGCTCAGCTTCGGTGCAAAGAGGCTGAGAATAGTCGCCTGTGCATGCAGATCAAGGTACCTGCTGGCCCCATACATGGGGAAGGAAGGAGGCAGGGGCCTGGCAATCCGATGACAGTGGCCTGGCCAAGAGTATCACACTCAGGAAGTGTGCCCAAAAGGCTTATGGGGCAGCTGCTGCTAACATACCCAGGCCTTGGGGAGACTGGGACAGTGGCAAGAGCAGTGGACAGAGACCTGGGAGGTTGTGGGTGCCCTTCCCAGCAGTGATGGGGTTGGATGCCATACCCCCAGGCCTGTCACTTGATTCCTTAGACCCTCAGTTCACCAAACTACCCAAGGGAAAAGGATGGCCTCAAATGCTCCTTGTAGCCATGAGCCCAGTCATCCTCTGAGGTCACAGCTCTGCTGAGTGGCCGAGGCAGTATCTCAGGAAGGATTCTAGGGGTGCTCTGTTCTAACACCAAGACCTGATGGGCTTAGAGATCCAGGAGGTGTCCAGGGAGCTGGGAGGTACCATGTCTCTGGTCTGAAACACAGTTGATAACCTGTTTTCCCTCTCCCTTGCGCCCTCTTTTTGAGGGGCCCTTCTCTCCCTCTCCCCCCCACCACCTTGCCTTTCCTATCTCTCCCCACCTTCTCTTCCTCCCACTTCCCAGAACCTGGAACGAAGTGGAAACCAGCACAAGGCAGAAGTGGAGGCCATCATGGAACAGCTGAAGGAACTGAAGCAGAAGGGAGACCGAGACAAAGAGTCCTTGAAGAAGGCCATCCGCGCCCAGAAGGAGCGAGCCGAGAAGAGTGAGGAGTATGCCGAGCAGCTGCATGCGCAACTTGCTGACAAGGTAGTGGGCTGGGGGCCAGGTGATGGTGCGGGGGCCTGACTGACAGGTGGGCGATGGGTGGGTGGATGCACAGCTGGGTGTAGAGGAGGGAGTTAAGAAATCCCAAGGGCAGAGCGGGGTGGGGGGCAGAGGGCTGGAGTTGACTGGAGGCTTTGTAGGACCGGTTAGCCACGTCAGCATGGTGCATGAGAATGATGGTTAAGGAAGGATGTGCAAACAGGATGCATTTAATTGCTGGAAATCTAGGGGCTCCAACTGGGCTCCCATAGCCGCTACCAGTGCTCTCTAGAAAGGTGACTTGCAGGTCCAGCATAATGGCTCACACCTGTAATCCCAGTACTTTTAGAGGCTTGCTTGAGCCCAGAATTCGAGACCAGCCTGGGCAACATAGCAAGACCTCATTTCTACAAAAAAAAAATCAAAAAATTAGCCAGGCATAGTGGCGTGTACCTGTAGTCCTAGCTACTCAGAGGCTGAGGTGGAAGGATCACCTGAGCCCAGGAGGGTAAGGCTTAGGTGAGTCATGACGGTGCCACTGCACTCCAACCTGGGTAACAGAGCGAGACCCCAACTCAAAAAAATAAAAATAAGAACAGTGAAAGTGACTTGCAGAGTGAGGCTCAGGTCACCCAGGTGAGAGACTGTCTAGGGTGAGCTCAGCCCCAGCTCCCAGGTGCCTCGGTGCTGACAGGCCCTGTTGTCCTGTGCCTCTAGGATCTTTATGTTGCTGAAGCTTTGTCTACTCTGGAGTCATGGAGGAGTCGCTACAACCAAGTTGTAAAAGACAAGGGAGATCTCGAGCTGGAGATTATTGTCCTGAACGAGTACGTCTTGGAGAGGGAGCTGGGCTGGGAGTGTGGGCCGATCGTTCTAGAGGCTTGGGTATACAGGTGGAAGGAACTGGGTGACCCTGGGCAGGTCACATGGCTCACAAGGCTGCTGTTAGGTCTCTGGGCTGTGGGGCTGTGCTGGGCTGAGATGCACGCAGCCCTGAGCCAGGCTTTCTGGCAGGCACTGGACAGGGGCCAGGCAGGCCTCTCTGGTCACAAAGGCCTAGGTCTGACTCCAGTGCCCAAACCGAACCCGGATCCAGTCTATACAGCATGGGAAGCAGGCACACTGGTGTCCTCATTCCTGTTCTTGGGAGGATGTGGCAGTTGGTGACCCCGTGTCTTCTCTGTTGTCTGCCAGGGATAGCAGCTGTTTTGCCAGTGCCCACCAGTCAGTAGCTCAGTGGTACTGAACTCACACCCTTCTTGCCATCAGTGAACTCTCAGCAGTGATCATTCGGTCATTTTGTTTGTTCCTTCATTCACTCAAAAAATATATATTGAGCATCTACCATAGAACCAGGCTGCGTGCTAGCCCTTAGGGGCACAGCAGTGAGAAGGCAGAGATGTTCCCTGCCCTGTACTCTCGTAGAGAAGATAGACCTACAAGAGACATGGACTCTCTGGGCATGACTCTCTGGACAGCCACAGGAAGAGCTAATTTAGTCTTCCAGGTCAGAAAAGTCTTCCCTGAGAGGATCACTTGAGACCAGGAGTTTAAGACCAGCCTGGGGCAACACAGTGAGACCCCATTGCTGCAAAAAAAATGTAAAAAATTAGCTGGGTGTGATAGTGCATATCTATAATCCTAGCTATTTGGAAGACTGAGTTGGGAGAATCACTTGAGCCCATGAGTTCAAGACTGCAGTGAACTGTGATCATGCTACCACTACACTCCAGCCTTGGGGACAGAGCAAGATCCTGTCTCTAAAAACAAACAAGGCTGGGCATGGTGCTCCTCAGCCTGTAATCCCAGCACTTTGGGGGGCCGAGGCGAGAGGATTGCCTGAGCCTGGGGGCTTGAGACCAGCCTGGGCAACTTGGTAAGACCTCATCTCTACAATAAATCACAAAAACTGGTCGGGTGTGGTGGCATGCATCTGTAGTTCCAGCTACTTGGAAGCCTGAGGTAGAAGAATCACCTGAGACCAGCAAGTCGAGGCTGTGGTGGCCATGAGCATGCATTGTACTCCAGCCTGGGCGACAAGAGTGAGACTCCAACTCAAAAATAAATAAAATTAAATTAAAAAGTCTTCCCTGGGGAAATGTCTTCTGCTGTATTCAACTTAAATTAGCAGACATGTTCTGAGAACCTGCTATATGCCAGGCCCTATGCCAGGTGTGCTGTCCTCAGGGAAAAAGTGGGAAAAAACAGATATTTTGGTAGGATACATGGTGCAGGTGAGAGAGGTTGGGAGGGTGTGATGTCCTGAAGGTGGGGAGTCTGAACTGGATTTTTTTTTTTTTTTTTGAGTTGAAGTCTCACTCTGTCATCCAGACTGGAGTGCAATGGCCACTCCCGGCCACCGCAGCCTCGACCTATTGGGCTCCAGCAATCCTTCCGCCTCAGCCTTCCAAGTAGCTGGAACTACAGGCGTGCACTACCACGCCTGGCTGATTTTTTATTTATTGTAGAGATGAGGTCTCACCAAGTTTCCCAGGCGGGTCTCGAACCCGCAGGCTCAGGCAATCCACTCACCTCAGCCTCCCGAGGTGCGGGATTACAGGCTGAGCCACCGAGCCCGGCTTGAACTGGATTTTTAAGGGTGAATTTAAGGGAGTTTGCCAGGTAAGATGAAAGGATGTGTTTGCTTGGGCCTAGTCAGTGCTCAATGAATATTTGTTGAGTGGTGTAATTGGTCAATGCTGAGACATTTTGACGGCAGAGAGCACAAGGGGATCACCAGCTGCCAAAGGGTTTTATGGTGGGCCTGTGGTCCAGATAGATGAGTAAGTGTCTGGGAGCCCCGGGCTGCTTTAGGCCACAGTCTCTGCCCTGTGACTGAGGATAGCCCTGCTGAGTGACTGTGGGGATGGGGGATGGTGAGGGGGGGGTGGGCACTGACTCTAAGTTGGCTCCCTTCCCTCCAATTGTGCCTTCTTCACACACATACCCGTTTGCAGTTCCTGCCTGTGCTAGGTAGATGTTCACATGAGAGCAAGCCAGTCATGGTGCCGGCCCTCCCTTGAGGAGGACAGAAGCCCAGTGTGCTCAGGGACCCCTGGAGAGGATAGCCCAGGGGGTAGTGAAAGATTCCCGAGGAGTCTGTCCTAACACCAAGACCTGATGAGCTGGGAGATCCCGTAGTTGTTGTGGGGAGCCAGGAAGGGGCGTGTACCTGGCCCTTGTCTTCAGAGAGGGTCAGAACGTACACCCTCCTCTTATGAAGTCATTGCCTATTATGAACCTGGGGACAGTTTCATGGAGAGGGTGGTGTGGGAGACACACCTTAAGGATGGCATTGGGAGGGGGCACATAGGCGTGGGAGTAACACAGCACAATAGGGCCGTGCAGCTGCCTCCCAGCATGGAGGTCTTCCTAGACATGCAAGCCGGCAGTGTGCCTAGAAGTATGGTGCGACTGGCTAGGATCCCCTGACTCTGCTCCCCGCAAAGACCTGGGCCCTTCAGAACCTGTAGAATTGAACCTGGACTCCTCTCTGTCTTGTTTCATTCGTGACTTTGCAGCCGAGTGACAGATCTTGTCAACCAACAACAAACTTTGGAGGAGAAGATGCGGGAAGACCGGGACAGCCTGGTGGAGAGGCTTCACCGCCAGACTGCTGAGTATTCCGCGTTCAAGCTAGAGAATGAGAGGCTAAAGGTCCACAGGGGGAGTTGGGAGCTAGGCAGTGGGCGGGGGGGGTCCAGCAAGGCTGATGGGTCTTCAGAGGGGCTTGGGGCAGCAGTGTGATTAAGGGTGCTCTTGAGTCAGAAGAGCCTAGATTCAAGGCCTTGCTATGCTTCTGACTACGTGTAGGACCTGTATAAAATATTTCATCGGTTTTTTTGGGGTTTTTTTTGAGTCGGGGTCTCACTCTGTCACCCAGGCTGGAGTGCAGCCATGGCTCACCGCAGCCTCAATCGACTTCCTGGGCTCAGGCAATCCTTCCACCTCATTCTTCTGAGCAGCTGGGACTATAGGCACATGTCACCACACCCAGCTAATTTTTTTTTAATGTTTTGTAGAGGTAGGGTCTTGCTATGTTGCCCAGGCTGGGCATTTCATCTCTTACTGCTGCAGTGTCCTTAGTAAGAGGAAGTGAAGTCCTTGTGAGAATGTTGTATCACACATGAAATGCTTACCATGGCGCACTCAGCCCATGCACGGAGAGAGAACTGACTCTGAGGTGAATATGGTCTCTCCTGGGGGACTGCTGGGCCCCTTTACATGCATTAATCCTTACTTAAATCTCCCAGCCTCCCCATAATGTGACGATTGTCTCCATTTGAAATAGGAATGAGGAAACTGAGGCTTAGAAGAGAGGTCAAGTTTCTTGCCAACATGTTGCCCTAGGAAGTGCTGGTTGGGCTTTGAACCTGAGTCTCTCTCTGGAGCCCTGGCTCTTACTTAACCCCTTGCTGTACCCACTTCCAGCATGCCAGGGCTGGGAGGCCCTGGAACGGAGGCTGACTTTTTTTGTTTTTCTGAGTTGAAGTCTCACTCTGTCACCCAGGCTGAAGTGCTGTGGCACACTCATGGCCACCGTAGCTTCCACCTGCTGGGCTCAGGCAATCCTTCCGCCTCAGCCTTCCACATAGCCAGAACTACAGGTGCACGCTACCACACCTGGCTAAGAGGCTGACTTTTTTTTTTTTTTTGAGTTGTAGTCTCACTCAGTCACCCAGACTGGAGTGCAGTAGCATGCTCCCGGCCACCGCAGCCTCCACCTGCTGGGCTCCGGTGATCCTTCCACCTCAGCCTTCCAAGTAGCTGGAACTACAGGCGTGTGCTACCACACCCGGCTAATTTTTTTGATTTATTGTAGAGATGAGGTCTCGCCAAGTTGCCCAGGTGGGTCTTGAACCTGTGGGCTCAGGCAATCCACTCACCTCAGCCTCCCAAGCGCGGGATTACAGGCTGAGCCACTGAGCCAAGCTGAGACTAACTTTTTAAGGACAGGTTTGATCTGTGTTTTTGACTGATCTGGGCAATAATATCTAGGTTTGTTTATTTTTACTAATTTTGTTTTTTATTGTTAAGTAAGCCTCATTTTGTGGAAGAAGAATATGGAAAAGTACACAGATCCTAGAATTTTCATAAAGTGAACACATATTCTCTGTTAATCACAGTATTCTCTATTAATCTCTATTAATCCACCGGGCATGGTGGCTCATGCCTGTGATCTTAGCATTTTGGGAGGCCAAGGCAGGAGGATCTCTTAGCCCAGGAGTTCGAGATAAGCCTGGCAACACAGCAAGATCCTGTCTCTAAAAAATAAAACAAGCCGGGCTCAGTGGCTCAGCCTGTAATCCCGCGCCTTTGGGAGGCTGAGG